GAGCCTAATGCTGGGAAAGATTGAGGGCAAAAGAAGGGGACAACAGAGAACAAGGTGGCTGAATGGAGTTGCTGAAGCAGTTGGTGTGAGCTTAAATGGATTCCAGAAGATGGTAGAAGACAGGAAGGCCTGGAGGAATGTTGTTCATGGGGTTGCGATGTATTGGACACGACTTCGCAACTAAGAACAACATGTTGCCACATCAAATGATCAGGACTTAGTTAGTGACTGATTAGATTAAGGGTTCATCCTTGAGGCTGAAGCAAACCATCCCTCTCAAGATACAGTATGTTTCCTTGTTTTCCCCCCAGGATTTTTATTTCCTTGCATCATAACCAAACCAAATAAGGTAGCAAATTGAGGATGCAGGTCATAAATAAGAATTGGACTCACAGATGAAGTTAAAAGTTTAGCAGATCTCGAAGGAAAACCTGTCAACTACTGTATGTTTCATTTCTTCTTCTTCCTAAACATTCAAGACCAAAATAAGATTTATGTGCAGAGCAGACTCTGAGTCATCTCATATAGGGAACATTCAGACCTTGGAGTCCTTGACTTATAATGGTTCATTTAATGATTGTTCAAAGTTACAACAGCACTGAAAAAAATAACATGATTGTTTTTCACAATTACAACATCCCCATGGTCATGTTATCAAAATTCAGACATGTGGCAATTGACTCATACTTATGACGTTTGCAGTGTCCCAGGTTCATGTGGTAACCTTTTATGATCTTTTTACAAGCAAAGTCGATGAGGAAGCCCAAATCACTTAACAACTGTGTTACTAACTTAAAAAGAAAGGTCATAAAATTCACTTAATGGATGTCTCACTTAACAATAGAATTTTGGCCTCAATTGTGATCGTAAATCAAGGAGTATCTGGACATATCCTTGTAGTTTAAGAATGACAGAAAATTTTCATGTTTTATTCTATTATGTATTTTATAGAAACTACAAGCATATTTAAAATACATTACACTTTTCTCATGTTTCCCGATTCCACCTTTTCTTTCAGGCCAATCAGTTTTAGGGTTCCCTACAATTATCAAACAAAAATTCATTACACGCAAGGTCACAAATGTTGTGTGATAGCATGTAGAATCCAGCTCAAGAATATTTAAACCAGGCGTGGGTTGCTGCCGGTTCAGTGCACGTGCAATTTGCGTGCACAGTTACCTGTAAATAAGTCGGTGCATGCGCCGAACATTTAAAATGTCAAATAAAATGCCATGACCACTGGGGAACCAGTTCAGGGCTGTGGCGGGCCTGTCGTCCCTACTGGTTCAGCAACCCAGTCGCACTTTCCACTACCAGTTCATACACACCAGTGCAAACTGGTAGCAACCCACCTCTGATCTAAACCACTTTTTTGAACCAGCCATTTGACTATGGACTGTTATAGCAATAGCAATAGCAGTAGACTTATATACCGCTTCATAGGGCTTTCAGTCCTCTCTAAGCGGTTTACAGAGAGTCAGCCTATTGCCCCCAACAATCTGGGTCCTCATTTTACCCACCTCGGAAGGATGGAAGGCTGAGTCAACCCTGAGCCGGTGAGATTTGAACCGCTGAACTGCTGATCTAGCAGTAGCCTGCAGTGCTGCATTTAACCACTGCGCCACCTTGGCTCTTGACTGTTCAATTATAATATAATTTTTATCCTGTTTTAGAGTGCTTTTAGTCTAAAAATATGTTTGTGTCTGGTTATATACAGATTGTTCTGGTATATTCTTTAATAAGAGATTCATTGTTTTTATATAATTGCTTTTTATGATTATTATTATGTGGTTAATCTTTGGTGAGATTCACAGCCTTTGGGGCTGGTTGACAGCTCAACAGCTCGAGTCCTAACCAAGGACCTAGGAACTTTTAAGGTAACGTTGGAGGATATAAGTTGTTCCAAGTAGGGTGGTTTTTATTTTTAATAATAATAATTATTATTAAGACTTTATCAGGTTGGGCTTTGGCTGTAATAGTGATATTTTAATTCAAGAATTCATCCACATATCCTGCTTATTCTGGTGTAAAAATGACCCAGTATCCATTTGTTGAGAATATGAGTGCACAATCTCATCTTCAACTCATCCCAGTGCACAGTGAAGGCACTTTCTGTCCATCTTTTCTTGCTCCAAAATTTTTCAGCTTCTGCCAGCACAAATTGTCCCAAATAGTCAGCCTGTAGTGAATTGTTGTGAAGTAACCAAGTTGGGGCCTCACTCTGCTCTTATTGGATATTTGAAGCTAAGGGCCACCCCACAACCCCCTCACCCCAGCCCTGGTCCATGGTCCCTAGTTTTCAAGGCCATTCACTTTTTGTTAAGGATAAAGACTCAGGCTCTTCCAGTAGCCAACAAGCAATCTCTTTTCTTGACAACCCATTTATGGTAACAAACTTGGGAAGAGAAGGAAAAAGGTTCATTGGATACCAGATCTTTTGGCATAAGACAGGTCTTCAAACTTTGCAAGTTTAAGACTTGTAGGGCTTCAACTCCCAGAATTCTCCAGTCAGCTATGCTGGCAGCTATGCTGGCTGGAGAATTCTGGGAGTT